TATAGTTTTTTTTGACAGCCGATGCCGATATCTTGGAAAGCAGGGTGGCCGATATAAAGCCGATATAATTTTATGCATTTTATTTAATGTTTAAGAAATTTCCATTTGAAAATGGATTAAAAAAATAAATGTGTAAAATCAACATGCTTATACTTTAAATGAAAGTATTTTTCACAAATAAACAAATATTGAATAAAAATATAATTAAAAAGGAAGTAAACACTGTAAGCAACAGGGAGTTCGCACGGACCGACCGTCACGCAGAGAACACGCGATCGTGCAGGATACAAATGCACACTTCATAAGATCTCACAGCTGGATTCGACTAAGTCACTGCCGCAGCCGTTCTCAGCGACGTCAAAATAAAAGTCTGACGCGCCGTCAAAATAAAAGTCCCGCCACGAACGCATCGGCCAAACAGAAAAACTTATCGGCCGATGCCGATATTTGAAAAATGCCAAATATCGGCCGATATATCGGCCTTGGCGATATATCGGTCGACCACTAAATATTATAATTTTATTTTTAAGTTTACTATAAATAATTGTATTTGTATTTAATACTCCCTTTTTATTTTAAAATGTAATAGTATTATTACACTTTATTATTTTGTTTATTATTTAATAAAAAAAAAAACTAACTAAATAAAGTGCAATAATATTATCACTATTATTAATTTATTTTTTATAGTTATATATTTAATGGGTCACACTATGTGGTGTGAGGACCAAACCAAATCTCCAGGTTCTCTTATGAAACTTATGTGCACCCCTGGTCTAAAGCATTTCATTACTTTCTTATGGATATATTAAAGTGTCATCAGTCTGGTGCACGAATAAGCAAACATCTTTCCATGTTACTGTTGTGAATCCAGAGAGACGGAGAGCCTGAAGGCCAGAGGAACGTGATCCGTCAGTCCGGCCAGCTGCGTCACATACGTGAACTCCTCCAGCTCCTGAAACACAGCAAACACTTCAGCTCCCGTTACTGAAGTACTTCATCGAGGGTGCATCTTTTATGGCACAAAAGAAAAAAAAAATCTAGCCCAAATATATTCGAAATACATGCTAAATATATGTCGTAAACCGTGAAGCTCAATGAAATATAGTTAATTTTGTTAATATTTTTTATTTGATTTGATTTTCTGATTTCATGTTAATTTGTTTTTGTCATTTTTAGTAGTTTCTGTTGTTTTTAAATGTCTATATATATATATATATATATATATATATTTCATTAATTTTATTTTAGTTGTACTACATAAAATAAAAATGAGAAAGGTTGCATTGGAAACTAGCTGAAATAAAATAAGTATTAGATAGATAGATGATAGATAGATAGATAGATAGATAGAGAGACAGACAGACAGATAGATAGACAGAGTCACAGGATGGATGGATAGATGGATGGATAATATATTTAAACAAATATATTGTATATTCTGAAATATATTTAAAAAAAAAAATAATATATATATATATATTTTTTTTTTGCCATTTGGGATCTTCTGTGACAAGTGTACACCAAGTAAATATTAAAGCACAGAAAGCTTGTTATGGTGAGGAAACGCACAGTTTTGCGGTGACTGGAGACAGAGCTCTCTCGATACAGGAGGTAATCGATCCGGCGGCCCGTCCAGGGCTGATCAGGCTCAGGATAGACCAGAGGAACACCTTCGACGGCCACCGGAGGAGAAATATAGTCCTTACGCACTTCTTCAGTCTCCAGAGCCCTGCAGAGAAGATCAAACATCCATTAGATCACAAAACACCAAAACCATATAAAAATACATCACAATATCTCACCGCTGCAGGTTGTCTGGTGTCCTCATGTTCTCATCGTAGAGCGTTGGCTGCTCCAACAGGGTTCCTACAAACAAAACCACCATAAGCTTTGTTGTTTCAGTATTTATATTTGGAATTTTACAAAATAAAATAATTTTTAATTGTAATTACACTTTAATAATTTATGTAAACAATTTATAATTACATACAATAAATAGTGAAAAAAACAACAACATCCTAATACCCAAACTACATTTTTATATGTTTTAAAAATGTTAAATAAAAACAAGAACAGCAACATTCTAATAATAATACCCAACCTAAATTTTAAAATTGAAAAAAATTAAAATAAAACTTCAACATCCTGGCAGTAATAGCCAATCTAAATTTTTAAATGTAAAAATATAACAAACAAAATAAAAAAACAACATCCTAATAGTAACACCCAACCAGCAGTATCATTTTAGTATTATTGAAATACTATTGTTTTAATTAATAGTTTGAATCAGTTACATTTACATTTTCTGTTATTTTAATTTTAGTTACAATTTTGTTTTGTGTTTTTGTAATTTTTAGTATT